GGGTTCTGAGGGGGGGAATTCAGGGGGCAGGAAGTAGGAGGGAATGGATGGAGGCAGGGTGGGGAGGGGCTAGGGCATGGCAAGGGCGGGGCTCCCTGGGTGCACACCCTAATGAAATGGGCTGCGCATGCCTATGATTAAAAGAATATTAAAGCTGCGAAGTCAAGCACTCAGAAGTTAGAAATGACAGTATTAAGGTTGCCTGTACAACCTTAATGTAACCCCCTCGTGCGTATGCAGTATGATGTTATGTGATCATGTCATTCAAAACCATTTATTCCACAGGACCACTGCCTCATTCAGTGCACAGGATGGACCTGCTCTGGGATTAATCAATATTCTGTGGTAAAGGAGGATGTTGATTCTATCTCTGCCTCTGCCAGAGAGTTCCTATGTGATACTGGGCACAGGTCGCTTACACCCAACTTTTCATAGGTGGTCATTAACTGTGTGTTCCTCATTTACTGGGTGCCTGACTCAAGACCCGAGGGTCTGATTTGCAGAAGCGTGGAGCACTCACGGCTGCAACGGAAATGAACAGGAGCTGTGCTTGGAACATAAGAAGTGCTGTATAATGCAAAGCACTTCGAAAAATCAGGTCCTGGCCATCTCCGAATGTGCACCTAAAGTTAGTGGATGCTTCATTTCAATTGTGACTTCACCTCTCTTGTGAGTGTGTATATCTGATAGTCAAGACAATGGACAGTCTAGTGGTCCTGTTGGGTTAATTGCACTACTTGGGTAAAACAGAGATAGTACCAACGCCTTCTCTCACGGGGATTTTGTGACGGTTGATTAGTGTTTGTGAAGCACTCGTTCGAGCATTTCCCATGAGGAAATTAAAAATTCTGCCTTCCGAGCAGCGATTGAATAGTGTGGTGTAAATAAGGCCTGGGACCACACACTGAACAACCAGAGGATAAACTCGTTAAGTGAGCACCATCCATCCTGTGCGCTGAAAGAGGCAAGGGTCCTATGGAAAAATAGTATGTCCTCATGTAATTAAAGACTGTATCATAATGCAAATGCACAAGTGGGCAGAATTAAGGTTGCACAAGCATTTCCTAGCTTTTGAGTGCCTGACTTTGTAATCCTGATGTTCTTGTAACAGTATTTTTTGCGTGAGATTTCCTAGGGGTTTTAAAAAAGCAAACTGAAAAAACTGAAAAAGTGGCTCGATCTTCAGAAGGAAAGTGCTTAGACTCTTGTGAAAATCAGGCCCCTTTGTGGGACACCCAAAATCAGGACTTGTTTTTGAAAAGCTTGGCCATTACCTTTGAACAGAAAAGTAACGTCCGTTATCAGTGAGGTTTTCGTTCCATGGCAAGAGCAAAGGAATGTGTGTAAAATGGGGCGTCCCCTTTCATTTTGGACTGGCTGGCACGAGAACTCGGAAGGAGTGCAATCCATTTGTGTTCCTGGTGAGTCTTTAATGAGGGTGCCAGGGGAAGATTTTTGACACAAAACATCACTGATTCCAGGGCCTGAAGTACTGAGTGCTTGAAATCCACTAGATCCCTTTGGATAAGAGGGTGAAAGGGCATCAGTATCTCGGAGAGTCTGGCTAGTGACCTTGGCCATCAGATGCAGATCAGTTCAATTTAGGCATTGCCTACTTGGCAGTACTGATCCCCTGCCAGAGATGAGCCATGGCTCTGAACCTGCTTTTCTTTTCCTAGTTTAGAGCTGTCACAGTTGCTACACCAAAACTGGGTCTGCACTATGGGCTGGTTTACCTGTGTTCATTAGGGATGTGATTTTTTTTTTTAACTGTTGTCGTTCTAGTGGTATAGAAGCCCTAGTGAACAGTTTCACCAGTATAACTTATTTCACTTTTTGAACTGGAATGAGTTATGCTGCCATAGACCTCATCTGGAATGCTGTGGCAATCCTGGTCTCCCATGTTTAAGAAAGATTCGTTCAAACCGGAACAGGTGCAGAGAAGGGCTACTAGGATGATCCGAGGAATAGAAAACCTCCCTTAAAGAGAGAAGACTCAAAGAGCTGACTCAGAGCTTGGCTTGTTTAACCCAACCAAATGAAGGCCGAGGGGAGATCTGATTGCTCTCTTTAAATACATCAGAGGGATAAATACCAGGGAGGGAGAGGAGTTATTTAAGTTAAGGGCCAATGCTGACAAGAACAAATGAATATAAACTATCCATCAACAAACTTAGGCTTAAGTTGTGGAACAGCCTTCCAAGGGGAGCAGTAAGGGCAAAAAACCTAACTGGCTTCCAGACTGAGCTTGGTAAGTTCATGGAAGGGATGGTATGATGGGACTGCCTACGATGGCATGTCGCCCATCTGCAACTGCCAGCAGCAAATATCTCCAACAGCTGGTGATGGGACACTGGATGGGGAGGGCTCTGAGTTACTACAGACAATTCTTTCCCAGGTATCTGGCTGGTGGGTCTCGCCCACATGCTCTGGGTCTAATTGATCACCATATTTGGGGTCGGGAACAAATTTTCCTCCAGGTCAGATTGGCTGAGACCCTGGGGGGTTTTCACCCTCCTCTGCAGCCTGGGGTGCAAGTCACTTGCAGGTTTAAACTGGAGTAAATGGTGGATTCTCTGGAACTCGAAGTCTTTAAATCATGATTTGAGGACTTCAGTAACTCAGCCAGAGGTTAGGGGTCTATCACAGGAGTGGGTGGGGGATGTTCAGTGCCTGCAATGTGCACCAGGTCAGACTAGATGATCACGATAGTCCCTTCTGGCCTTAAAGTCGATGTGCCTATGAGCTTCTTCCATGCTGATGGATTGTAGCTCTTAACAATACCGGTATAGTTAAAACAGAGAAGTTTGCTAGTACAGATAATGCCTTGAGACAACTTGCTAGCCCATGTGGTGGTGGGTTTGTGCCAGGGCCAGAGGGCACCCTGCCGTGGCAGGCTGGTGTTATGCACTGCTAAGTTTTATAACGTCTGATTTTTATTACTCAGTCGGGTCACCCGGTCCATTCTCCAGGGCAGGATTGTTCCCTGTGGGTGGGATTTTCAAAAACTCTCAGCATAAGCCTCATTTTGCTCCCACTTGTGTCAATGCAAGTTTCACTCCAGTGCTTTGTCCAGTAAAATGTAAGTGACTCAAAGGGTGGAGTTCCCATCCAGCCTTTTGGGCAACCATGCCACAATCCAACCGAGTTCACTGGGGGCAATTTCCTGATCAACCGCCTTGGTTGATTTTTGTCTGATGGCTCCTAGTTAAAACCCAGCGGAGAAATGATGGCCCCAGTAGTGAGTGAAAAGCCAATGAATTCTCCCCTCCCCTTCCTCAAGCATAGGTTAATTATGTCTGTGTCACTGCCTCCGACAATGGCACACCCCCAAGGCGTTCATAGCTGGGGGAAGAGGGAGATCTGTCTGGAGCTGGGAAGGGAATGGGACTGAATGTAGACCTTTGGGAAATCCTTTGTCTAACCCTCGTTCATACAATCATAGACTCGTAGGACTGGCAGAGACCTCGAGAAGTCATCTAGTCCAGTCCCCTGCACTCACGGCAGGACTCGGTATTATCTAGACCAGCGGTTCTCTAATTGTGGGTCAGGACCCCCTTTTAATGGCTGACATTAGACTTGCTGGGGGCTGACGCCAAAGGCTTCAGCCCTGAGTGGTGGGGCTCAAGTTACCGACCCCCCAACTGGGGCTGAAGCCCTTGGGCTTTGGCTCCCTGGCCGAGGCGGTGGGGCTCAGACTTTGGCTTTGCCCCACCCAGGGCAACAGGGCTCGGGTGGGCTCAGGCTTCGGTCCGCCCTCCTGGAGCTGTGTAGTACATTTTGTTGTCAGAAGGGGGTCGCGGTGCAATGAAGTTTGAGAACCCCTGATCGCGACCATCCCTGCTGGGTGTTCAGACTTGGCTTGCAATGCAAATTCTCCAGCACTGCCGTTGAGAAGTCCAGCAGGATTCCAGCGTGCCAGCAACAGTCCGAGCGCAAGGACTCTGTGTTGGCTATTGCTGCAGAGGCCCAAGGGCTGGGGACTGGACTGTGCTAGGGGACACACACATGCCAACGCCCTCGTGAACTTAGTCTAGTGTGAAGCACAGCAGCTAGAACTGAGCATTGCCAAACTCATCTCATACAATGGCCACCAGATAGTTGTTACATGAGAACTGCTAATAATCCATGCTGAGCCACAGGTGAAGGGCTCCGTGGCACCTAGCAATACCCTAAGGCAGAAATATTAACAGCCGTCAGTGGAAGAGCTGGGACTAGAACTGATGGTCTGTCCTAGCTTAAACTCAGGGCATGTTTGCAAGCTACAGGGGGTTGCGTGGAGCCCTCTGTCCCAGTGCGCACACGCTCGAGTCGCATGGAGTCAGGAGCATATCAAGCTTTTGCAAAAGCCACGCAGCAGGGGCCAAACTGGGGCTTCACTGCAGTTGGCAGCACTGCTCTCCTGACGTGCCCTGGGGTATCCGAACTGATCGGTCTCGCCTCGGCGGTGGTTCTGCTAGTAATGCATGGAGACGCCTTCACTCTGGCACCGCACAGCAGCCCCCTGGCATTTCCCTTGCTTCCTGAGCATGCAAAAGCTGTGTTCATGCACTCCGGAGTATTGCAGAAAGCACGTTGCCCGTCAGTGCCATCTGCTGGATGCTTGGTGATAGTAAAAGGATAGAGCCAGGTGAAGGGACAGGGTCGGGGTTAGGGGCAAACTGGGACCAAAGGGGGTTAGGAGCACATTTGTTTTGGACCCACAGCACATACAGCTGTCCAGAACGTCAAGCCAAATGAATGGGATGCCTGGCCATACCTATCACGGCTGGCCACGTGCTCACATCGGCTGCGTCTGGGCAGGAAACGGTTTGCAGCTTGAGGGAGAAGGAATGTTGCCTCTTTCTGAGACTGCTCCTTCCAGCCCCTAGCTTCTGTTGCACTGTGTCTTACGCAGGAATTAAACAAAAAGCGGACCCAGAAAGAAATGGAGCACGCCATGCTGATCCGGCACGACGAGTCCACGCGCGAGCTGGAGTACAGGCAGCTGCACACGCTGCAGAAGCTGCGGATGGACCTCATCCGTCTGCAGCACCAGACTGAGCTCGAGAACCAGCTGGAGTACAACAAGCGGCGGGAGAGGGAGCTGCACAGGAAACACTTCATGGAACTCCGGCAGCAGCCAAAAAATCTGAAGGTATTGTGGGGCTTCCTTTTCTTCAGCTGTTTGCACCCATCCCCTCCTCTTTGCTCTCTGCCCTCTGGCATGCCCTGACCAGCCTCTGTCATCTTTCACCAAGCAGCCCCTCCTCTTGACACTTGGTATCCCCCAGGTGCTCCCTGCCCTGAGCTGGTCTCCTGTGTCTGGTGTACATTGTAAGCGCTTGAGCCAGGGGAAAGGCAGTTTGGGGGTTTTTTAAGTGCCATGTCGATGTAGGTAGCCATAGAAGTGTTTGATTGTAATACTCACAACTGACAAGGCATTTGAGAGATTTTGCTCCTATCTCTCAGTCCTTCCTTCAGCCTCGGTATTGAATCCATTGGTGAAAGGTTCTGGTGTTGCTTCCTTGCCTCTGACGTTAGCAAAAAACTAAATAAATGTGGGGGTGCTGGTCCTTGGCTGCATCCTGCTCATGCAGCTACTGAGCAGTCAGAAACCCGCTGAGCCGTTCTTGGAGCTTTTCCTGTCATCTTTTCGGAGCAGTGGGTGAAGAGCGTGCGCCTTTCCAGTCACGCTTTTCAAATCCTAGAGTCCTCCAGTGGACGTATTGTGGAGGCATTTGGGGGATAGAAAGATGGGGAGGATTTGGGGAGCAAAGGCACTTGGCAAGTCATTGAATATGGCAACTGACCCATGGAGCAGTGATTGTAAAAGAGAGAAAACACTCTAGGTCAGGGGTGGGCAAACTACGGCCCACGGGCTGGATCCGGCCCAAGGGATTGCCCCCCCGTGGTGCCGCGAGCCCCGCGCCGCGCTCAGAAGCGTCCGGCACCATGTCCCTCTGGCCCCCTGGGCGGGGGGGGGGGGAGGGGGAGAGGGCTCCGAGCATTGCCCTTGCCTCCAGGCACCGCCACCCACAGCTCCCATTGGCCAGGAACGGGGAACCGCGGCCAATGGGAGCTTCGGGAGAGGTACCTGGAGGCGTGGCAAGAGCAGCACACACAGAGCTCTCTGGCCCCCCCACCCCCATGGGCCGCAGCGCTTCTTGGAGCGGTGTGGGGCCGGGGACAGGGCAGGCATGCAGGGAGCCTGCCCTGGCCCGGTTTACGCCGCTACCACCCCGGAGCCGCTTTAGGTAAGCGGCGCCGGGCCGGTGTCCGAACCCCGCCTGCACCCCACCCCCCAACTCCCTGCCCTAAGCTCCCTGCCTGTACCTCATACCCCTCCTGCACCCCAACTCCCTGCCCTGAGTCCCCCTTGTACGCCCCACATCACTCCTGCACCCCAACCCCCTGCCCTGAGCCCCCTGCTGCACCCTGTACCCCAACTCCCTGCCCTGAGCCCCCTG